ATATATATATATATATATATATATATATATATGTTGTTTAAGATATTCAGTTTAGTCTTTATGTTTCAATATTTTTTAATTTATCCTCTCACTTCTAACGAATGTTATAATTGACTGATTGACAACTTATTTAACATGATATTTATAAAAAATTAAAATTATCAATAACAATAATACATCTTTAAACTTCTAAAAATATCTTTAAATTTTGAAGGATAGATTACAAACTTTCACCTCTTAAATTACTTTTTGTTCTATTATAACATTGTGTTAATTGTGATAAATCAATTTTAATATTTACTTAAGATTATATTTTACAATATTAAAATGAAACTTGTTAAATCATGAAGAGTATGGTAAGAAACTTTTATACAGACTAAAATATATATTTAACTTTTTTACGTAGTAAATTATTTCGTTTGTGCTGTTTTTAATCGGTTTTTTATTTAGTGGTATAGTAAAACGATGTATTTTAGTTTATCATGACAACATTTTAAATTTTCGAATACCAATTCTTAGTTCTCGCGTTTTATTTTTCTTATTTATAGGTTGCTATAAAAATGACATGGTATAGTGTTGTAGTTAATTCTTCAATATCTCAATAATGATTTTAAGGGGTTGTAAAAATGTTGTAAATGAAATATATGTTTTCCCTTTTAATAATTTTTTCATATGGGTGAGAGTAAAATAAAATGATTATCGATGTTTTTTTTTCTTCAATCCATTAATAAGATGTATATTTATTTGAATATTAAACCTCAAATAAATGAATAATTATATTAACTTAATTATGATATGTTGGCGTGTATTTTACAATACTTGGAAGTTCGAGTGTGTTTGATCAGAAAGATGACCAACTCTATGAACCTCGGCTCAGACCGAGAGTTGCTTGAATGATGAGTTAGAAGGGTGACCTACAAAACATAACACACTCTGACGCTAAAAACAATARCTGGTCGAACTAAACTTGGGAGAGAATTTAGCATTCGCGTACCTTTGAACGGAGTAAATTGGCTCTATTTAGAGAGGTCTCCAACCATGTTCTCGATAAGGCCTCAATGACTCTTTAATGTTATCGTGAAATACGGCGTGATGTCGTGGAGTTTGTCAGATACGAGACTGAGTCGAGGTAAGGTCGATCGATTCAACCATAACTGGAGAATAAGATCTAAAGCTATTCGGCTCGGCCGGCAAATGAGTCGGCTCAATCAATAAAAATTAGACAGAGGTGGTTTAACTTAAACCTTGGCGTCGCATGCCACGTTTGAGCGGAGAAAGCACTTCCAACAGAGTGTTTGTATATGCCATCATTTATAAATGGGTACTCCAACATAAATGCCGATAACTTTTTTTTTTTGTTTTTCTAGGACAATAAATGCCGATTACTATCTAAACTCAAATCAATGAATTAATTAATCAGTACATTTATTATCGTACTTGATGAAAGTAGTTTCAACAACATTGAACACTCTCACTATTAATATCACAATGCAATACTAAAACGTTTAGAAACATATAATTATGTCAAAATGTGTATAGTTCAACAATAATGGATCGAATCTCATCTCTACGTTGTACTAAAAAAGAAACATATAATTATTTTTTCTTGAACACTGTGTTTATATTATTGAAAATTTTTGAACAATCAGGAGTCAAATAATGATGTTTGATAACTATTTTGTTTTGCTTTTTATTTTTTGTGTTTGTTATGGATTAAATGTATAAACATTACATTTATGAACGTTTTTAAAATAAGTCAATTTATGAAAGACTAAAAAAAATGTTTTCAAAAAATGTTTTGTTTTTAAATTTTACCAAGAAATCAAATTAGTAAATACATTGTGAGGAAGTAAGCATTGTGTTTAAAATAAAATAAAAAAGTAAAAATATTTTTTTTAAAAAAAACAAATGAGTAAGGGATAAGTGTCAATTATCACTGAACGAAGTATAAAGTTGCTATCAAACAACGTTTAAATTGTTTTTAATTTGAAAAATCTAAATTCAATTTATATGTTATAAATTAAAGACTATATATGTTTTAGTCTATAATATTTTAAAAGTTTTGATTTAGTTGAGCACGGTAGATTTAGAAAAAATTAAAAGAGAAATTAAGCAACACTAAAAAAAATGCAACTTTATTAAAAAACCTTTCTTAGGAAGGGATCTAATTACTGTTTGATAACAAAAGATCTGGGTGATTCACCCCATTTAACTAGTGTCGAAATAGGCCGGGAATCCACATTGGATTAATTCCTTCGATGCTTGCTCGGAGCGAGGTCGACCCAATATCGAGAGACTCAGCCACCGAGGACTTTATCGCACATTTATGTCTCCATCTTTTGAGTTGAGCTCAATCTCTAGTAGGTATTGTTTGGTCTAGAGTGTCGTCCATCTTTCGGATGTGTGATGTATATGCCATTCCGAAGTGATCGAGAAATCTACTAATAAGTCGTTTAATGGCAGTTCCATCTATCACTTTATTTTGAAAGACCATTGAGTGCTCTGCCCTCCYACTCGATAAAGCACTCTCTTGTCTTCTTAGTGGCAGTATGCTTAGAGGCATACCCTATATATACACACACATACTAATTAACAAGAAACTGAATTTATTTTCTAAAATTTATAAACAATTTTAAAAATATTTATAAAAATGTAAAAGAGAAACATGAACCATCATCCAGCGTTTATGTTTTTAAAAGATTGAAAATGAAAATCAAGAACCGAAATAGAATGGATTCTCCATCCCATCTACACCATTTACCATTCTTAAAAAAGCATTAAAAAGAAAATGAAAATAGTTCAGAGAACAAATAAATGGAGAGAGAGACATCCACAAAAAATAAACACCCTCATTTTTATTTTTTCTATACTTCATCAAGAATTGTCCTCAATCCATAATGGAAAATATTGTTCTTTTCCCTCTTGAAGAATTAACTTCATAAAGTAAAATTGATAAAAATAAGCATTTTATTAACCTAGTTAAAGACCAAAAACTCCTCATCATCTCTGTCAAAGCATCTTCACTCAGCTCTCAACCATGTTGATCATCCAACACACCAGGCAGCAGCTGCAAAGATATTTATGCAAAAGGCAAAGAAAAAGAATTCTGTTTGTTTCGCGGGAAAATTTTATTTACTCCTTTCTTGGCACTTGAAGTCTTGCCCGGAAATCATCCTCCATCATCGGCAGTCCATCTCTCAGCTTGATCTTCGGCTCCCATTGGAGAAGCTCCTTTGCTTTCGTAATGTCTGGCTTCCTCTGTCGTGGATCGTCTGGGGTGTTATCGACCATGATAATCTCAACATTGGGATTGATAAGCTGCAAAACCAGACGATATTGAAAGTTAGAAGGCGAAGGGCTCGGAAGAGTCACCGATTTGAACTTCCATTTCAAATAAAAATGGTTTGAATTAGAGAAAGATAACGTACCTCCTTGACGGTTTCGGCGAGTTCGAGCATGGTGAATTCACCTAAGACAATAACGACAGAGTTAGCAATGACAGTGGGACAGTTGCCTTCATATAATTCCTAGTTCTAAGTTGAGCCATATACGAAACCTGGATTCCCGATGTTGATCGGCCCAGTGTTCTCTCCTTCCATAAGTCGGATAAGTCCATCAACCTTGACAGGTGAAAAGTAACAAACGATGAGACGAGAGCGCTCCCCATATCCAATTAGGATGATAATTTAAAAACCATCGAAAGAAGTAAAGCTCACGGTTGTTGATTTCACATACCATATCGGAAACGTAACAGAAACTCCGTGTTTGTGTTCCAGGCGACTGAACAGTCAATGGCTCGCCGCTGCATTACAGAGAAGTTGAGAATAAAGTACATCTATGTAAGAATTCACACGAAGCGGATTAGAAGCAATTCCAACCCAAACAAAGATGTATACATTACCTCATGACAAAATAATTAAAAATGTATAGATGTAACGATAACTTACCGGATTGCCTGGGCTATGAAATTGCTAACGACACGTCCATCGTCAATATTCATTCTCGGTCCATAGGTGTTGAAAATTCTAGCGATCCTTATCTCTGTTACAGGAAACATTCTTAATGTTATTAGGTTGGCATCAAACTAGAAATAACAGAGGGACCAAAACAGGGACATAAATCTTACCGATCCCGTGCTGCCTATGGTAGTCGAACATTAAAGTTTCAGCCACCCGCTTTCCTTCATCGTAGCAACTTCTTACACCTTCCACATATATAGAAGCAGAATTACAAGGGGGGTCCTAAAACTTGATGGAAACTTGACCTATTCATAAATCTATAGAGGTCATTAGTTTTTAAGAGTATTCGATTCGACATACCGATTGGGTTGACATTTCCCCAATAGCTCTCATTCTGGGGATGAATAAGAGGATCACCATATACCTCCGAGGTTGACGTTAGCAAAATCCTAAGATTCATTATTATATGATTAATAATGTTAAACATATATATATATATATTAAACCAGTTCATTACAGATGTATAATTCAAAGACATGAAAGTTATTGTTCTAACCTTGCTCCAACTCTCTTGGCAAGTCCCAACATATTTAATGTTCCAATCACATTTGTCTTTATTGTCTGAAATAGCATGAGTTAAAAAGTTCAGAGCAATGCATTTGCGATATGAATGTAACAGATTTTATCTAACAAACAGTTGCTTAGACTCTAATACCTTAACGGGATTATATTTGTAGAATATCGGCGAGGCAGGACATGCCAGATGGTATATCTGATCCACCTCAACCAGCAAAGTCTCGGTCACGTCTGGCATTAAGACATGGCAGAAAACAGGTCAAACAGGTCATTTCCAATCCGGATGACAAAGAGAAAAGTAAAAGGAAAAGAGAGATGGGTATGTAAAAAACAGAAAGCAGATGCTTGTACCATGACGTCTGAGCTCAAATCTAGGATGACCAATCCATTTTCTAAGGTTCTCCTTCGAGCCGGTGAAATAGTTATCCGCAACGATAACCTAAAAATAAGTAAAATAAACTTTGAATATCAAACTTCCAAATCATATAATTGACTGTAAATTTTGTTTAAAGATTCTCCCGTAGATGTTTTTGTGACAAAATCCACCACACCTCATTCTTTTCGTTCTCCATCAATTTGTCAACTAGATGGGAGCCGATAAATCCAGCACCTCCAGTAACCAAAATTCTCATATTGGACTGTATCAAAACATGAAACATTGGATCATCGGAGCAAAGTATAACAGTAAGATAGTACAAGGAATACACTGGTCTGGACATTGACAGTAAAAAAGGCAGCATATAATTTTACTAAAACAACAAAATGAATATGTGCTTCAGAAACAGAAACAAGATGCTGATCTCTCGAAACTTCTACTCCTTTATCATTATTTTTAATTACCAATTAAATCTTTAAGATCTCATCCAACATGATGATATCAAGCCATTTAGCAGCTAATTGGCTGCCTCATTGAATTCTATCCCAAGAAACAAGAAACCATATAATATCATTTCTTAATACTGAAGTTGAACGTAAGAATTGAGTAAATTATTGGATATACTTGCAAGCTTCTTTCCTGTTTGTATTCACTTATGACTAATTATTGTCACAAAACCTTCTTAGCATTGTTAGCTTGTTAGACTTAACAAGAGATAGTAACTAGACCTTACTGATAGAATCCAAAATCAAATCCATTCGGACTTCGGCAAAATTGTACTATATCACATCGGAGATAAAAGTTAAGACCCCAGAAATCGCAATAGAAAAGAAAAAAAAGGAAGCAAGGTTTGTTATGATCTAAAAAAATGTTTCACTAGTAATCTAGTATCCTTGTGAATGAAGATAATCGATTCACTTGTTGCGGTTGGACGCTATTATGGATTTATGACTATGTTGTACATAGGACCCTCTTATTTCTTGTTCTTCAAGCTGGGTTATGGAAGAAGAAACCGGGAAAAAAATATCAGCAACAAGGAATGTTCATATCGATCTATTACTTAATTGAGGAAACTTTATATGGGAGCATCAAATGAAGTTTCTTCCCTAAGTGAGAAATAAAAAGCTACATTGCACTTAGATGCCAATAAAATTCATCAAAGAATCCATCCAAAAAAGTCAAGCTGATCACAGATATTCCATCCTTCAAATAGATTCACATGTTCATAAGGTTATTTCTAATATGATCTATGTATACCATATCATAAAACAAAATTACAGAAAAAAGCTGTGTCACCTGAAAAAATTTTGCACTTCTCAGAGGAGAAGGGGGAGGTGGGGGTTTTGTAGAAGTATAAGCATCTCCATTGGAAGACTCCTTAGCCATTACTGAGACCTCTCTTCAAATTTCTGATACGCAAATAAACATAATGCCTCGGTCAATCATTCAATTCCAAGAGAAAAGAGATCAGAGAGAGATCAAAACTGGACATATACTCCAAAACAAACAAATCCTAAGCAATAATCATGAATTGCGTCAAATTTCATATAAAATGTGCCTTTCGAAGAATAAAGCAAAAGGGTCAGGAGAAAAAAGCGAAAAAGAATCATCTTACAGTTCAAACAATAAGCCAAATTGCAAAGAGCCACAAATCGTTGCTTTCGATGATGTTGAATGAAATTGCAACACATCAAACGCTTTTTTATACGAAAAAAAGTAAAACCAACAAAAGATTTTAAAATAAAAACGATGAAATTAAGTTCTATTCTACCAAAATTTGCAACGGAAGGAAAGTAACAAACGTGAGAGATACGAAAAGTAAAAAATAAATGAAAGCTTCCCTTCAACAATGCCCACACCCCCCGAACAAAACGACGGCGTCTCGATGTTGATCGGAGCGACGGCAACTGTAAAAAAAAAAAAGGGTCGGCAAAATTACCCGAGTGAGACCGGAATCTGGGATTACTGTGAGGAAATTAAGGTTTTTCTTTCCTTTTTAGCGGCAGATAATTAAGATGATTAACAAAGAAGGGCCATGGATGTTCTTATTTATACGGGTACGTCACGACATGTCGTATAGGCTCACAGCTGGAAAATAATTCACTCTAGTCGAAGAGTTTTTATCTGCTGCACGCGGGTTTTGTGAGCTCTCCACGTGTCAGTGGCTTATTCGTTACTTTGCGCTTAATTGGGCGAAGAATTGTGCACGGTGACGGTGTTGCTATTTTTTTAATTAGATATTTTAGGACTTTTTCATAATCACTTTTTATAGATTCCAATCCATTTGTCAGATCAAAATAAAATATTTTAAATATTGACATTGTTATTTAATTTTTTGGATTTTTTTTTTTGTGGGGAATTGGATTCTATTTAATTTTACCTTTGCAAATCATAACAAATTTTGGATTGTAGAGACATTTTTTTCTACTTGATTTAGTTTCTCCTGATTTATTTGTTTTTTAGTACTTCGAGGAAATTCACCGGTCCTACCTACTAACGCTAATAAGGTTGAAAGTGTTATATATTTCATTTAGTTGTAATTAAATTATATAAATTTAAATATATAATTGTTATGTGAAATGTTTTAATTCAAAATAAAATGATGAGGAGGAGATAAGTAATAGGTTGACAAGTTGAGTTACTTTGTTTTCACTTTAGAAATGTTATTTAGAATATGCAAACATGGACTACATTTTTTTCACAATATTATATATAATTTGTCCACTATTGCATATCCTGAAATATTAATTAATTAAAATTTTAATTTGAATAGGGTATTTTTTTTAATTTATTCACACTCCATCCTATTCATTGTACTTACCTTATAGTATTTTTAAAACTTTGAATTTACCTTTGAAAAAGTTGAATCTACCAACTTTAATTTGAATTCAAAACTCAAATATTAGGTTGCCTAATCAAATTAAAAGTATATAAACAAATAATAATTAAAGATAGAACTATATGAGATTAGTGGTCTCCTTTTTTAATAAGTATTTTGTCAAGACCAATGAGAAAATGATGCATCAAATGAGTATTTGATACCATACAACCAGTTAAAATAAATTTACATATAATTATATTTCAAATTATATTTAAATTAGAAATGGGCCCCCGAAATTTTGGGTGGGAATTCCCCGTTAAAATATATATTTTTGTATTTTATATTTTATTTTTTAAAAATTTTAATTAGGTTTTATTAGTATAAGAAGTGAAGAAAAAAATAGTGAATTGAACTATTAGCTTGAGTTTTTTAATTTAAAAAGTATTTATAAAATTTATAAATATTAATATTATTATATAAAAATAGAAAACAAATATGTTAAACTGGTGGAGAATTCCTCCCCGTCCCCGCCGGGATCCCAATTAGGATTCTCGATTTGACCCTGCCCCCGGTCAAACCATAGATTTTCCGACCTGATCGAGTCGAGTTTCGTGGGTTTTTTTTGTCATCCCTAATTTCAATCAATGTATAACCACGTAGTTATATTTGTTGAGAGTATATCACCCAACCAGAAAACAAACTACTTTTAGTATCAATAATTAATGGGGGAATCTCAATTAGATAGTAAATTTGAGTTTTTTTTTAATTCAAATGACTATTTGAAATTCTTATTATTTTTCTAACTTTTGGTTATTTTTATTTTCTCTTCTTATGTATTGTATACTGAAATCTATTATATTTATCTTATATATTTATATTACAAGATTGGTTATGGAATAATTGGTTAATGGCTATTATATTAATACTAATTCTATATTAAATAATTTATCGAATAATAATAATAATAAAGTGATTGAGTAATATTATTATTAACTTTTCACCCTTGTAGGTTGCAATAGTTGAAATAAATAAACTAGTAAGTCAAACCAGCTCAAGTGGTTAAGACACATATTTCTGACCAAAAGATCATGAGTTAGTAGAGATTTGAGCTTGAATTTTCAAGCAACCACACCCCATAATGTTTTATTTTTTTGACTTTATTTTATTTTTATTTTTTTCCATTATCGTTTTATTATCGTATGTAGAAACATGAATATGTTGCTCGAATACTATTTGACACATGAAATCCAACAAATTTTCATCATCAAATGGCTGTATTTTAGTGGTGAGAATTCCACCTTGTGGTCGGTTTAGACATGGATTTGAATTATAGCAACCACACGTTTTATTATTAATATTATTATTTCATTTATGAATTACATTTACAAACTATCTAATATTCTGAACTTCGAGTAATAAAATAATAGAATGATGATTATTATTTCAGTCGTCAATTCAATCCTCAATCTCCAAAAAATTCTTAATCTTGTATTATAAATTCTTAGATAATTTCACACAAAAAATAGTTAAATTTTATTTTTAAAAAATGTTAATAAATTAATAAATTATTGTTTTATTGTTGTATTTAGATACATGAATATGTTAATTGAATGCTATTTAATGAAATTCAATTAATTTTCAATATCAAGTGGCCGTAGTTTAGCGAGAATTCTACATTCTGACATGATTACACTTGGCAATTCTACATTCTGACATGATTACACTTGGCTTGAATTTTAACCTGTCGTACTTTATTAACTTTTTTCTGTCTTTTTTATTCATTTATGAATTATGTTTACAATTATCTAATATTCCAAACTTCAAGTAATAAAATAATAACTAAACATATAAAATGATCCTTATTATTTCCAAGGTCAATTTAGTCCTCAATCCTTAAAAAATCTTAATCTTAATTTGAATGTACTATAAAGTATGAGTCAACTTCACCATCAAAAGGGTTAAATTTTATTAAAAAAATGTTGATAAATTATTATTTTATTGTCGTATTTAGACACGTGAATATGTTACTCGAATGTTATTTGACAAATGAAACCAAACTAGTTTTTAACAAGACGTGGTTGTAGTTTAGTGATGAGAATTTCATATTGTGACCTTAGAGACTTGGACTCGAATCTCATTCGTCACCACCAATTTTCAATATCGAGTGTTGTAGGTTAGTATTAAGTGACCGTAGTTTAGTGGTGAGAGTTCCACGTTGTGATGGTAGAGACTTGGGTTTGAATTCGAGCAGCCACACCCCATAATGTTTTATTTTTTTTAACTTTAGTTAATTTTTTTTTTCATTATCGTCTTATTGTCGTATTTAGAAACATGAATCTGTTTCTCAAATGCTATTTGACACATGAAATCCAACCAATTCTTGACATCATGTGACTGTATTTTAGTGGTGAGAATTCCACATTTGTCACCTGTTTAGACATCAATTTGAATTCTAGCAACCGCACTTTATTATTATTATTATTTCATTTATGAATTACATTTACAAACTATCTAATATTCTGAACTTCGAGTAATAAAATAATAGCTAAATATGTAAAATGATCATTATTATTTTAGTCGTCGATTCAGTCCTTAATCTTCAAAAATTAGTAATTTCACACCAAAAAAAAATAGTTAAATTTTATTTTAAAAAATATTAATAAAATATTGTTTTATTGTTGTAATTAGATATATGAATATGTTAATTGAATGTTATTTGACAAATGAAATTCAGTTAATTTTCAATATCAAGTGACTGTAGTTTAGTGGTGAGAGTTATTTTAGTGTATATTTGGGTGTTTTTATGCAAAGAAYTGTCAAAGTGTATCCATTTTAGCTCTTAAATATCATAGTTAATATTAGAAACTGGAATTCGAGCTAAAAGTCCCAGGTCTTGAATGTTTTGGTTAAATATCGTAAGCAATCTTCCATCATTTCCATGATATGCAAAAATCAACTCCGACGTCGATGTCGTTGATGTCTATAGAAATCGACAGATAATCGAAGCGATCGAGTTGACTTACTCCAGAATTTGTTCAAGTCGAATCGAGCAAATCCCTAAAAGAACAAAAAGGTACGCGATACATCATCATCTTCGTGTCGTCGTTTTCTTCTTCTTCCCTTACTTTATTGTCGGGAGGATCATGATATAAGACCTTTAGCAAAATTTTATTAGATGAGTCTTAATATAAAATATCAATATATCATTTAAATTTATTTTTATTACTTATTTAGATACAAAATTATGGATTAATATTTGATAATCTAAGTTCATTAATATATATTTTTCAATAGACTATATTAATGATTTACTTAATCTTTCTCATGCATAGTTGTCTTCAAATATGACTTGATTAATTTTAATTGTGAAAAAAAATTAGAACGAGAACAAAAAATAGAATCTAACTGGAAAGAATTAGAAGTTCTCTTAATTGTTAGTTTTATTTAATTAAATTTAAAAAGATTTAATTATGAAGCAATAAGAAAGATTAGTCCATTGAAAATAATTTCCATGGAAAATATATTATTTTATATTATAAATTAAAATAAATAGAAAATAATATTATAATATATATATTTTATGAAAAATATGGGCCTTTAGTGAACAGTCAAATACTATTCTTCCATCAATTTTGCCATAAGGCGGTCGCATAGCGGAGTGGATATCGCATTAGACTCCGGATCTAAAGGTCGTGGGTTCGAATCCCACTGTGATCGCAGGTTTTTTCTCTCATCTTTTTCTCAATATTCACGTCAAATATGACATTTATTTTTTTCGCATCTCTTTCTCATATTCACGTCAAATATGACATTAATTAAAAACAATGACAATTTCCAAAATTCCCATTTATTTTTTTCTTGTGCTAAGCCCAATAACAAACGTAGAATTATAACTGCAACATGCATCAAACAATATACAAAGCTATTAAAAATTATTTAAATGATTTAATATGTTTGTAGCTTAACAAATTCTCGTTAGAAAAAAGCTTTAGTCTTTCTGTTTTTGTTTTAGAAAAAGGAAAATAATTTCACATGCAATTGAATATGTTTCAATAATCATCATATTTCTATTCATGTCATTGTTTGTTGGAAGTAAAATTCAATAATGGTAAAGGCTATTTATTGCATTTTTCTCATGTTGGAGAATCGAGATTGTGAAATAGTAGCATGTTATATCTAAAACTTTGGTCTAAATCTTACCTGGGTCATTTTAATTACTTAACTTTCAAAATATATAACTTTTATAATATTTATTATAATTTTAGTTATTGAGCTATTCAAAGAATAATCAATTTAATCTTTGAACTTCCACAATTTTTATTTTAATCTTTGGATTAAAAAAGTAACCAATTTGGTTCATGTCAAATTATTTTTGCATTAAGGACCAAAATTACCTTGGTAGAGTATAAAATGAACCTATAAATGTTCAACAACCGATACATATTAACAAGTTCAAGGACAAAAAGCCAACCAGAGCATAGCTCAATGGGTTAAGACATATATATATTCAACCATAAGATTAAAAGTTCGAATCCATGTCCCCACATGACGTACTAAAAAAAACGTTCAAGAACAAAGAGAAAAAAAAAAAAACCTAAACATTTCTATATAGTATTCATCATTAATTGCCTCTAGTTCTAGATTCCATAACATAGAGATCATTTTCTCTTTCACAATCCTTTGGGGATTTTAATTATTTCCATAAAAAAAAGGTTCTAAAAGGGAGGCTAAATTGTTTCTCATAATCTCAATTTTCAACCTATCTTCTAGAGGGATGGTTGGTAGTTATGGAAATTTACATGTAAAGTCTTTATACCAAAATCCAATTTCACAAACGTTTTCACACCCAAGTATTTCAAAAGTGTCTATATGCAGCCCATCAAAACTCAATCCCCAATAAAACCTTAGCTAAAACTTGGAAAATATAATAATTTATTAAAACAAAAAACCAAATATAAATTCTAAAAATTAGAGATTTTCAATAGGATCTTGCTTCCCCACCTCCTTAAAGTTTAGAATCCTAATAATTTCTTGCAATATAGAATAATAAAAAAGTTTAATAAGATTGTTGATGAAGGAATCATCCCAAACGCGATGACATCTAGTTGAGCATGAAAGATTGTGGCCGATTTAAGCAATATGAATATCGCGAAGAARAACATATAATAGGAATAATATTTAGGTGTTTATCGATTAACAAGTATCTCTTATCGACCATTATTAAAAAGTAGACAAAATAGAGAGAAAATAAATATTTTATTTTTTTAATAAAATAAATAGTTATCAATTTTTCTTAACGGTGGTAAATGAGAAAATTCATATATGGAATAGCTACTAATACTATGCACAATAGTGGAAATTACTATCCTACCCACCGGCCAATATAAGTTTATACAAACTTTCTGATGTAGTATATTTTTATTGGTTCAAAATTTTAAGAATGGGCCAATAAAATTACGCCACATTAATAAGAAAGTCGTAAAAATTTATACTGGAAAGTGTATAGGTTAGTATTGTTCCAAAAGAATTACCCGAAGTGTTAAAAATAAAGGCAGAGACGACATGACGACGTCAGAGAGAGAACACAACACGACACCACAAAAAAGAAAGAAGACAGGAGATGGAATAGAAACGACATGACGCACCAAAATATTCCGCTGGTCTCGGTCTCAGTCTAGAAGTGAAAACGAGAGCCGTTGATTAGGAAACAGACGACCCGGAAACCCGAAAGCAGCGACGAGAACCCGAGGAACAGGAAACCGGCAAATCCCAGTGCGATCGAGATGGTTGATTGAATGCAGAA